ACCTACATACCTACATACTTACATACTTACATACTTACATACTTACATACTTACATACTTACATACTTACATTACATTACCTTACATTGCATTAGACATGAGTGTCATACAGTAATGCAGCGCAGTTATATTGATTGTATGCACATAACTAGGCCAACTAGGCACGTTCATCCTCTAAAAGTAATTTCACAAACAAGCTCCACCCTCTGCCCGGCCTGGCCGGAGCCGAAACCACTGGGAGCCGTCTGTTCTCGGGACTCCTGAGCTGCTATGAACCTACAGAAGTTGACAAAAGACACACCGAACTCTTGTAGAGAAGTATGAGCATGGCTGTGGTTCATGATGCTGTACTACACTGTGCTATACTTTTACTATATACTATGTACTATATACGGCATGTTGTATACTGTATACTATATACTATAGATACTATATGCTATATGCGACATGATGCTAGGTACCGAGGCCCCGCCTTGGCCTGAGCTTGCGGCGCTGTCTGCGGCTTCTCTGCCCCAAGGGCTACACGCTTGGGCCGAAGGGCAACATCCAACTTCCACGCTGAGACCAGACTGTGAAACAAGCTCTAGTGACTCTAGTCTCGCCACCGGTCCAGGTAAACGACCAGAAGCATGAGAAGAACATCCTTGCAAAGACTTGCACGAAGGGCAATGAGTGCACGGTCTGCACTTGGCTCGACACTCGGATGCCAAGAAATATGTTTGTTGTGTTAATTTTTTAAGTCCGAAACCATAGAAACTCAAGGGACATGCTGACATAGAATTAGAAGCGAAACGCTGAATAGCAACTTATTGAATAGTAGATCTGCGTTGAACGAATCAAGCATGGAGCAGTTCACGATCTCTCCGTGTAGCATCCGTCTCCAGCAAATCGGCTACCAAAGTGTGCGACAGGCTGCTGAAGAATACCGTCGCTGGTCGCGATTTGTTCCGGCTCATCCTATCAGCCCATAAACGCTTTAACCCTAAACCCCAAACCCGAAAGCATTGGCCCGGGCGGTGTGGCATCTCTCCATCAGCTCCCCATGCCGTCGGCACCTGCCAAGAGTCAGGGGCCTCGCCGGAACTCCGACAAAGAATGATGCCTCGCGAGATGTGCATGGAATCATGTTTTCGTATGACTTCATGATAGAACATTAGCATTAACATTCTGGAACTGATCCCTGAACTTTGGCCAGCTGTCTGCCTCGGCACGCATGGGCGGTTGGGTCATAGCCTCAGGTCTGACTGCATCTCCTCTGCGGTCTACACGCACCGGCCGCTAGGGCTAAGACGTGATAGGAGGTCCCGTTCTCGTTTGCCATTGGGACCTCAGTGGCCGATAAGTCGGACAGAGGCTGTGTTACAGGGGACTCAATCTCACTTCACTCAAGTCTTCTGCCTGCTGCGGTGTTTCTACGCCTGAGCTGTAAGGCAACGACAACTTCGAGTTCCTTCTTCCAGTTCATGTCCAGTCGCCCAGCCTCGCGGCATTCACCGCAAATGGATCAACCCGAATTCCCGGCCGGAGACCGTGAATCCGTTTTGTGCTGCCAGACCACAGCCAGAGGCTCAATTAAACTCTGCACTGAATGTCGTATACAGTCTATGCATACTTCGACAGCAATACAAAAAACTTCGTGGCATACTGCTCGATGAGGCTCCACGATCAGGTATCCGAGCCAGCGACGGAAGGACCGCTCGCACCGGAACCTGCTCAGATGATTCAAATATTCAAAAACATAACGAACGCTGTATATTCTGTATGAAAAAGGACTGCAGCTCATGGAAGGCTCCTGCAATCGCGCCTTCGCGCCCTTCTCGGCTGGCCGTCGCCGAGGTTGGCCTGGGAGGCGGCGGCGGAGGTGCCGGCGGCGCCTCGGAGCATCGCAGACCGCACTCACCGAGGCGGGTGGAGGGGCCAAGGAATCTGAAAAAGCAAAGCTTTTTTTTCTGCGGCGCGCAGCTTGCTAGGCCGTACTGCGATAGAATGCCAACTGGCAATGCAGTCGAGCCACGATGCTCGACAGGAAATTGCAAACGAATTTAGGCACTGTGTTTCTGGCGCCTACTGACTACTGAAAGCATGGATCGTGTCCGGACACGTCGAACACGACCTGTGCTTCCTCCTCAGCACCAAGCACTTTGCCAACGATTGCCACACGGCACCCCAGACGACAGGGCATGAGCAACGAATGGAAAACTTGTTTCTTATCTAATCCGGCCTCAAAATGGACCGGTGTGCCACACCAGCCTGCCTCGGAACATATGCCATCGTCGAGCACCCGCAACTGCTAAACTGCATGAAGCTTCGAGACATGATGCTGTGGAGCATGTGTGCTGCAAGTTGGGGACTCTGCAGGCTGGTGCAGGTAGAATCGAAGTATTCGAATCGATAAAGTGGAAAACAGTCTTGCACAGAATTCCTACTGGCACGAGCCACGAGCAGTCCTCCTGTGAAGCAAAGGCCTTCCTACTCTGAGGGCCTGCAACTCACAGATTCAGGCTGCAAAGTCGACTCCCTCGATGCGGTCCTCGCACTCCTGGTAGACGTCGCGCAGGCGCTGGAGGTTCTCGTCGTCGGTGTCCCAGTATCCCTTCGCGTTTGCTTCGAGGAATGTCTGGACCATGTCCCGCAAGGCATCAGGATTGGCTTCCAGCATCTTGTTTTTGATTTCCTCGTCCTTGATGTAGGTGCTGTTGCAGTCTTCATAGACAAAGTTGTCGACGGCATCAGCCGTTGTGCTCCATCCGAAAGTGAAGCGCATTCTCTTGGAGATTTCACGCACCCCTTCGTAGCCACCCTTGAGGTTGGCCTCGTAGAACTTTGGGTTCAGGAGCTTGGTGCGGCTGTCCAGGCGCACTTGCGCGGACAGCGACCGCACCTGTGCGTTGGCCGTGGTGGTGTCGGCAATCAAGGCTTCCGGCTTCTTGCCATCCTTGCGCAAGTTTGAGACGACCTTGGTGGGGTCGTTGTCGAAGTAGTGTGATACGTCCGTCAAGGAAATCTCGCTACTGTCCAGGTTTTGGAAGGTGACATCCACCTTGCTCAGCGCCGACTTGAAGAGCCCCGAAGACTCGATCAGCTCGCCAGGCGCATCCGAGCTCAGGGCGAAGCCTTTGCGAGTGACGAACTGTTCCTGCAACTGCTCCTCATCCACACTCGCTCCATTCTCCACGGCGATTCCGACGTTCGCAGAGTAGGAGCCGGCGGCGTTGGAGAAGACCCGCGTGGCCGCCTGGCGCAGGGAGATGTTCAGCTCCTCGGCCTGCTCCATGGCGTGCTTCCGCACGAAGTTCATCTCGATTGGCTCCTCGGCCTCGGCGGCAGCCTTGATCGCACGATCAAGCAGGTTCATCTGATTGATGAAGAGGTCCCGAAAGACCCCGGAGCAGTTGCAGACCACGTCAATCCGGGGCCGTCCCAGCTCCTCTAAAGGAATGAGTTCCACCTTGTTCACCCGGCCAAGAGAGTCCGGAACGGGCCGGCACCCGACCAAGGCCAAGACCTGGGCCAAGGACTCGCCGTAGGTCTTGATGTTGTCCGTCCCCCACAAGGTAAAAGCGATGGACTCGGGAATCTCGCCCTGCTGCTCCTTCAGAAAGATTCAGGGAGGAGGCACAGAGTGGCTAGCTCTTTTCGTGTGTTCGGGCTGGTGCCAAGCTGCTATACGAACTTCCGAGGTGTGGTGATCAGTTTCCACGGCAGTCCCTGCATGTGGAGTTGCAAGCATATTCGGAGAGCTTACGACAAACAGCGGGATTAGTTTGCGGGACCTTGCAGGAGATTACAGATTACACATGCAATCGGGCATCCTCAACCAACCCCCCCCACCCCCAACCCCCCTGGCTTTCGAAAACAAGTCGGATCCTTCAAGGACTCTAGGAGCCGATCCACCACCACCATCGCCACGTCGCTTGCGGCCTTGGTTGGGATGGAGTTGGGGTCCAAGGCATGCATGTTCTTTCCGGTGGGCAAGACGTCAGGATTTCGGATGGGATCGCCACCCGGGCCCGGCTCGATGAATTTGCCCTCCAAGGCATTGATCAGGCTCGGGACCTCGTTGTTGCGCACCACCTCTCCGAGGCAGGCCTGGAGGTACTCAAAGAGCGGCTTCAGCGGCTCCTCTGCGACGCCTGAGAAGCCAGATTCATCCAAAGCCTTCTTGTAAGGAGAGCCCCCCGAGAAGAAATTGAACATGTCCTGCACGAAGGTGTTCACTTCTTCAACTCGGCCTTCCGAGTTTGTGGATTGCTGCACCAGGGCCCCGACCGCAGCACGGCTGGCCAGAGTAATCTCTTGCACCAACGCCACGTCCTCGAGGTTGCCATCGTTGTTGCCCTTGTAAACGGCTTCGATGTCCTTCCCCCTACTCTCGGCCAGCAGCCGTGGAAGGCTCTTGATGCCCATCTCCGGACGATCCAACTGGGCAATGTTCACCAAGGTTGCAACGCTTTCTTCAGCAGTCGGTGGAACCCCAACTTGATGTAGGCCCATTGGCAGAGCTCGCGACTCGATTTCCATGAGCAAGCGGTACACTTTTCCCACCACGGCATCACGCTCATCCAGAGTGACAGCTGCCATATCGTCCTCCTCTGAAGGAAGCTCAATATCTTTGTCCAAGTTGCACTGGCGAGCTGTTGCCACGATACTGTTCACGATGGAGGCACCACGCTGCTCGTTCTCGCGTAGGCCCTGGTAGGATTTCACCAACTCACTGAGTTCCTTCAAGCCTTTGTACAAGCCCGCGTTCTCTGCAGGAGGGGTCAAGTACGAGATCGTAGAGGCATAAGAGCGCCGCTTGGCGATGGTGGCCTCTGACGGGTTGTTGGCTGCATAGTAGTAGAGGTTCGGCAGCACAGAGATCAAGCGGTCGGGATAGCAGCCTCCGGACATGCCCACCTGCTTGCCTGGCATGAATTCCAGGGAACCGTGAGTGCCAAAGTGAAGCAACGCGTCCGCCTTGAAGATAAACTCCAGGTATGTGTAGAAAGCAGCAAATCCGTGATGTGGGGACGCTGACTTGGCGAAGAGAAGCCGCATGGGATCACCCTCATAGCCGAAGGTAGGCTGCACACCCAGGAAGATGTTGCCGAAGTGCTTCCCATAGATCAGCATGTCCCGACCATCTGTGTTCAGCTCGCCCGGCGGAGCACCCCAATTCTCGCGAAGATCCATGGCGAAGGGACACAACTCCTCGTACTCATCCACACTCATTCGGTAGGCCACGTTAAGATCTGACATGGACATGGCTGCCTCTGGGTCTTCCAGTATGGACTTCTGCAAGCCCTCCACACTGTCGGGCATGTCCTCGATCGTGTAGCCCTGCTTCTTTAACTCTCCCATCACCGCGAAGATGCTGCCGAAGACATCCAGGTAGGCAGCCGTGCCCACGTTGCCTTTGTCCGGAGGGAACTGGAAGACACAAATGCTGAGCTTCTTCTCGGCATTGGGCTTTCTGCGCAAGTTTGCCCAGTTCATGGAACGGGTCGCTAGGGCACCGATTCGATCTTGCATCGGAATGGACCGACCCGTGGTGCCATCGCGGCCGGAGAAGATCAGTGGCTCAATCGCACCGTCGATCTCAGGCAAGGACACCTGCAAGGCGACCTGCACCGGATGAAGGCCAAGTTGGCTGTTCTGCCATTCCGTGAAGGACTGAAAGACCAGTGGGACACTCACCAAGTAGGGCCGATTGAAGCGCATGAGGACCTCCTTGGCTTTCGCGGCATCCTGAGATGCTGGCCCGCCCACAAGAGAAAAGCCCGTTAAGTTCACCAGGGCGTCGACGAGGCCTTCACCGGTGGGACCCGCAAGGTATTCCTTTGCTGGCACAGAGAAGTCCAGGCCACCGGTGTACGTGCAGGCCACTCGCGCCCCACGCCTTTCCAGCTCCTGGACCATGCCCACGTAGTGACCGTCATCCTTGGTTGCAATGTGCGATTTTTGCAAAACCAGACCAATCATCGGGGAATCCGGCGCGATGCCTGCTGCAGGGCAATGCACTTTGTCGTACCACTCCCTGTACTCAGTCATAGAGTCGAAGATGGTTGGAGCCAGAGGGTGCCAAACTCCCATGTCAGGAAGAACAACTGGATCCATGAGGGACTCTGTGTCAATGGAGTCCACGGAGGGCACGTACCCACCTGCAATGCGCAGAAGCATTGCCTCCAAGTTCTCTGGCGTACCGCCCAACCAGTGCTGCAGAGACAAGACGAAGGTCCTGGCGAGCGTTCGGCACAGGAGAGCATCGGCTCTTCCCTGAGCTCTGTGGAAAGGGACAAGTTACTGATTACTTGGATACATGTAGATGCGCTACATTCGAAACAGGTAAATTGATGGAAGCATGCCAGTGAACACGCAGACTCCTAACTCCTAGCATGCATCTTCACCCACCCACAGCCAACTTCAGCACAAACCCGAGTCCTCGCGTCTTTGGCCTGGTCTCCGGGTAGGAACTTCAAAACCTTGGGCAATGTTCGGACCAACTTCAGCAAGCTGTCCTGAAAGTTTCCACCTGACGCAGGCTTCGTTTTGGCCAGCGACTTCTGGCGCAAGTCTTTCACTTGCTGGGCAAAGTTGCCCAAAGGGCCTCCTGCGATCTGTGTCAAATCGAAGGTGCCCAGTTTGTTTTGCTTCATGACTTCAGGCATCGAGGGGAAACAAAGGCATGCATCAAGCTTTGCACGGCGCGGCTCCACGATCTTCACCAGCTTCTCAGCCAGCTCCTGCACGAAGATCAAGGAGCAGATGAAGATGTTGGCATCGTCCAAGTCCTTGGCGAGTTCCTCCTCACTAGCCGCATCCCGGATTTCTTCAAGCAGGTAACCGACGCACTCCATGCAGACGGGGCCCGGGGATTTGTTGATTTGGCGGATAGCCGCCGTCATCGCAGACTGGTACTGCGACTCGAGAACCACATAGACCACCTTCACACAGGCACGCCCCTCACGCTGCTTATCGGTGGGGACCACACGGCGAGCAGCAACGTTCGACTGAGTGTAGCCACCAAATCCACCAGACATGCCCGCCATCATGTCGTCTTCCCCATCCGGAGCTACCGGCGTTTGGACGTCGGCGGTGGCCACTCGCCGCGCGACCTGAGAGCGCTTGGAGCGAGATCGGGAGGCCCCCAAGGCCACGCCCAGCAGCGCCGCCGCGCCGGCCGTTCGGAGCTCTGGCTCCCTCACTTCGCTCTTTGCAAAGCTCGTGGGGCTGCCTTTGGGAGGCGCAGCCCTCAAGGTGGCCTCACCGGGTGAGACGAAAGCAACCTGGGCAGACATCTCCACAGTGAAAGAAGCTGCGTTGAGCGTGTCAAAACTGGACTCGAGCCAACTGGCCAGGGCGAGATCAAGGGCAAACAAGCAAGTTACCAGCACTGCATCCGTAGTGCAACCTAACGGTCCTAGCAAGGCTGAGCTGTCGGCGGCTGGTGCCTTCTTCCGGAGGATGCTATGTAGGCCTGCGGCCTGCTCAGGTTGCTCGACATATATTGTTACTCTATCTATATCTATATATCTCTATATCTATAGAAATCTATCTATCTATCTATCTACCTATCTATCTATGTGTATATATATATACATACATGTTTGCTATTGTTTCCTTCTTCTAACTGTTGCCATTGCTTCTTCTGACACTAATCTCGCCGATCTCAACGAGCTTGCAGGGCTTCTGTTGCTATCGAAAAGGCCGCCACAGCAGAGACTGACTCGACGACCGAAAGAAGTGCTCGCGTCAATGGTCAGGCTGTCAGGATAGCAATCCGGCTCAGTCATTGCACTACTGGATCAATGCCTCTGCGCCCAAACGGCCCCACAAATACAAATTATGGCAGTATCAGGATGGATCCGAACCCTTTTCCTTGGCCTCCGGGATGGCACCTCCGACCTTTATGTTGTGGCGATCTGCGCCACTGGGCTTCTCCTCAGAAGCCAGGTCCATTATGTGACCAGGCAGAACACAGTGCTCTGGAGCTTCGCCCGGTTCTACAGATGGCGCGCATGCAACGTTCACGACGTTATTTTCCATCGACGAGTGCCGACTGCAACGTCTATCCACGCGAGACAAGCAAAATCCGTCTGTCCGGCAAGGGCAAGGATGTTGGCTGCGTGGGGGTCAACAATCGATCATGGCATGCCCTCCCCGCAGGAATGCGAGGCCCAGACAAGCCGCGATCTGTCGTGGCTCTCCTGCCACTAGAAACACATCAAATCGAGCGGAGACTCTGGCCGTGCGAGGCGGCTGTCCTGGTCCAGCCAAACCAACCGTCGTGGCCTCAATCAAACGCTCGCAGAGGGTGTGAGGTACATGCCGTTGCTTAGGCAGCGCGTCTTGGTGAACACAACTACTCGCTTTCGTTTGCCGACACCAACGGGTGGAAATGGGACAGGGACAGGGAGGTCTCTTGCAGCTTGCAAGTTTGCAAACTAGCTTCTCTGCCCGAGGTCCGCACAGCTGTCTCTCGAGCCCAGAATGAAACTCTGCAAGGGGTCCCATCCTGCCATGGTGAGCCAGAGTGCAGAGTGCTGGCTCTTGATTTTCGCACCGAAAAGCATCCCGTGGCGATTCATGGAAGATTTCGATCTACAATGTCGAGTTGACTTCACCAAGTTTCCGCTGTCTAAGACTGGCGATTAATGAAAGCAGCAGCTCGCATGCTCGCATGTTGAGGCCGTAGGGCCCCGGCTGACCATTCAGGTATGTGTTTCGGAGGAGCAAGTCCTGGAAACGTGCAGCATCTCAGGTCACTCTAGGCATGCCCTTGCGACTGCAAGGCAGTGGCCTCGGCCTCCAAACAGCTGAAATCTGCTTCGGACCAGCCTGTGCCTGTCAGTCGAGGAGCCAGATGCAGCGTTGGGGTCTCCGTGCACGTCAGCCAGCACTGAGGATCCCACTCAGAGCCTGCTTTGACCTGCTGCTGTCAACGACCCACTGTTCTGCCCACAAGCTAGGAAACGTCCGGCGCGCAACCGCGACTAGTACTTGAGCTGGAAACGGTTCAAGAGCGTGGGGTTAGCTTTGAATACAACTCACCCAACTTCTGGGTAGCTACAGCAACCCCTGACTAGAGGATTTCCTTGTCCTCGTCTGGGGCCGGAGAGCTTCAACCCAACAAGTCGCGCACCCGAGCTTCTCCGCCAGGCGTCGCTCGAGCGATGACAGCTGCCTCGGCAGGAGCTCAGAGTTCTCAGAACAGCTTAGGGCTTAGGTTTCCCTTTCTGCTGTCACTTCGGAAGTCTGCCAGGCTCTCTTGGCCACCGGCTGCATGAACGCAGTTTTCAAGTTCATGTCAGGCCTGCCGGCGCTTCCAGCTTCTCCCCCAAATCCGACTCTAATGATTTAGGCCCCAAACAACCCTTCAAGCCTTAAAGTATCCTTCTATAAGAGAAGCCCAGTCTGTAACACGGAGTCCGAAGACTCCGTCTCCAACCTCCGGAAGCTCAGGAATTCCATGGTCTTGCGGAGGCCCCAACCTCGAAGACAAAAACGGCACCGGAAGAGCAAAATTGTTCTCTCCGACTCGGGACCGCGCTGTACTTTCTCATCATGTAAGCTCCAAGGATACAGCAGGATCTGGACTGCCCCCGCACGGAGTGGATGAGTACCTGGCTTGGAAGAGTCTTGGAGGCTGGTCTTAGCTTCCCACTGTGGTGTCCGGCAGGACAACAGGGCGCACACTCTCGGCTGCATTCAGAGCCTCCTCTATGAAACGAAATGACTCAGACCTGGGCACGGGAATTCATCCTTCTGACAGAGCCGGAGGGAATCGACAGGACTATGCAGATGGCGGCACGCCGTCCTGTTGAGCGGCCGACGACACGACATCGCGGGGATCCAGTACCACCTGCATGCGGCGCTTGCCAGGATAGGCACGAACCGCACACCTTGTCAGAGCCCAAACTCGCCTGGCTCTCTGCATCCACCCAGTAGTAAGTTAGATATACAACGCCGATCGACCTCGGATGCCATGCATGTTCCGAGCAGCGTCATGTACACGGGAGTTCGACATTCCATGCTGACACAAAAAACATGCGCAGGTATCAACAGCTGAAGTAGGCCCACGGGCTCCCAGTGATTTGGTACCTGTCTGCCGGCGCAGTTGATGACCCTGGTCACCTTCCACTCTGCACTTCAATCCCTACGAAGGTGAACCACGCTGGCACTATGCATGCTCGCTTGCTTCAAGCAATGGGCGTAGGTGGGTATACAGGACAGGATAGGCATGGGCAAGTCAAAAACGCGAGCATACAAGCTCATGCAAGCTCGATGCCTTGTTGGAAACGACGAACTCCAAGTCCTCGAACTGCCGTGATCATTGTCGTTGTGCATAGATTCATAGATCCGATGCAAGTCGTCTGCCCCAACAACTCCCAACCCCTTGTTTTCTTTGGATGCGGCGCACATCTTGAGAGTTTATCGAAGCCGTGTGCAAAACACTTCGTAAAGATTTGGTTCTCTGTCATTGTATCATGGAAGTTTTGACCACGGCTCCACTGGCACTGGTGAGATCTTGGAACAGCAGCCAGGCAAAAGCCCTAGCGCTTCTGAGCTGCGGTGCGGTTGAGTCATCGTCTTGGTCAGGCAAGGGCATGGGTCATACTTCGTCTATTACTTCTGCATGCTTCTGCTACGTCAGAGTTGGCAGCCGCCGCTGTTGCTGGGAGGTGGACTCCTCGGTCTGAGGCATGAGGGGAAGTCTGCGAGGTTTCGTGGCCAGGGCGGGTCTACAATCTCGACGCTCTCCAAACCATGTGCCAACATTTGCTTGCATCGTGCGCTGAGCGGCATCGCAGGTCTGAACGCCTCAGGTCAGCCAGGCAGTCGGCAAAAGAAAACAGCGGCGCTGTTGCTCTCTCTACTTCAGTTCTTCGGTCTCGGCTCTGCGTGAAAAGCTGCACAGGCTGTGATCTCCGTTCGTCGCTTCAACCCAAGCTGCTCCGCCGCCACTGCCGGCCACGCTGCCGGCTGGCTGTCTGGCAGAACCAAGGAGCGCTGCGAGGCCTTGATGGAAACAGACCAAATCCACGTTCCGCTACACCGAGATCGGGACTGGATCGGCGAGAGATGTTGATCCAATGCGTTGCTAAGTTTTTCGACCGAGCCCTCGGGGAGATGTAGCCGAGGCTCTGCCGCCCGGCGGAGGCGGCGCATTGCTGTTGCCAAAGGCTGCCTGGAACTGAAGCCCTTCACTTCCTCAAGATGCTTAGCAACTGTTCCCGGACATACCAGTACCTGCCCCTGCGGTAAAGCTCTCCATCCGGAATGTGACCGGCCCTTCTCGTTGCTGTTTTGTTTTGCCGACGGAAAACAAACTCGGAGCACGGGGGTTTGTTTCTCCTACGAAAAACAAACTCTAGGGGGAGGGGTTTGTTCTTCCTACGGAAAACAAACTCTGAGGCGGGGGACGAGTGGGGGTTTGTTTCTCTTACAATTACAAAACACAAACTCCGGGGGAAGAGGTAAGGG